TGGTGTTCATGCGTGTGTTGTTATCAATAGCTGCATAATGACTGCCTTTCAGAGGATCTGGATCTGCTTTTCCTGGTTTGTAATTTTGTTCAATGCATGCAAGCTTATCTGTACCAACAACTTATTTTGAGAGAGATAGAGAAAAAAGTGCTTAATGCGATAGCAAGAAAATCTATATTGTAAAGACAGCTGTGTGTTATAACTCAGTAAGGTGGGAAAGACTGAAAGATGGGTCGGTTCCAACATCCCTCAACAAATGGGATTCCCATTCCCCCCTTTCTTCTGCAGCCCCCCTGTCTGTCTCAGAGGACCCCCAACCTTCCACAGTAGATTTTGGGGGTGCATGAGGGCTCCAGAGGGAGAGGCACGGGAAGTAAATTGAGCAAAAGAGACACCACAATTGGATATCATAGACTTTTTTGAAGAGCTTCCAATATCAAAGATTTGGGGTGCAATCCTAACCCCACTTACCTGGGTGTGAGCCCCACTGAATTAATTGGCATTAGTATCTGGGTAGACCTAGTTAGTATTGAAGTCTTAAGGACCAAGAATAACTTCAGGAACCCTGATAGGTTCATTCCCAACGGGTCACACACCCAATGAGCCTATAGGTGGGCTTTTTGCATCTCCTTGACCTATGACTTCAAGACACATCGAGAACCTCTGCTTCTAGGTGGCCTTAATGCTCATATTCCATCTGTGCCCCAATAGAAACATATTCTGAGTTTCCTGCTAGCCAGCCTCCCTGGATTCAGCTCTCTTCCTCCATGTGGGCCTTTGGGATGCTGATTCCCTGCTATGGGGGAAAAGGATCACAGCCATGTTTTCAGATACAGTATGCAGAAATTTAACGCGATCCATCTAACCCCATTGGCAACGTAAGGATGCTTTCTGTAGTGTAAAGGTTTTCACTTTCACCCCACAGCTGAAAGGTCCCTAAATTCAAATCCAGGTGTTTTTTAAAAATCCTTTTAGGGAAGAGGTCATAAGTTTCAGAGCCCATCCTGTGCACACAGAAAGCTCCAAGGCTCAACCCCCTTGCATGTCTTCCATGCATGGCTTTCAGGCAGCCTGCAGAATCGCTGTGGGTCAGAAGATAAAATATGCAGCGAGATGAGACCCGACAGCTTCCTCTTCCCCCATCTAGGCCCATCCCCTGCGCCGAGGAATTCTCAGAAGCTAAACACCCAACGTGGCAGCCTCCCTATCTTGTAGCAGACTTAATGTAAGGGTTAATCCAGCCCTGGTCACAGCCATAACCCACCAAGCACACTGTTGTTGTTGTTTTTTTGCAGAGAAGGTGTCAGCCTTTTGCACAAGCTTCTCTTGGGGCAGCAAGATTATATGCAGCAGGCACAAAACCTCCAACTGCACATTTGCTACCTGTAGGCCTTTTAATCAATACATAATATAAAAAGCCCAAAGGCAAGAGAGCCTAAACTGTGCACATGGGCCTTTCTCAATCCATACTCTGGCATACTGAAGCCTAAATTCTGCCACAATCCCCCGAGTGATGCTGGGTTCTTTGGCTATCGACTAAAAAATAAAAGGCCCAGCAGAGTTAAACCATTTTACATTCTAAAGCTCTCATTTTTAAAAACTGATTTGTACATGGTTGTTCGTTGGGCAGCTCTACCGCATGTACATAATATTATATATACCAGTTTTCTTTTTTAAAACAGTATTTTCAAAAGAGCAGACTTTTCCTTAAAAGAAAATGAGCACGTATATGACATTGTAGCATGGGTAAAAAAAGTCTGACCCTGGCCTAAATTGCTATGATTTATGCTTAACAAGATTTGTTAGAAACACCAATGAGCATTGGAAGCAGCTTTTAAGTGTTTTTCTCATTTGCAGCAGAAACATTTCATTTTCCCTGGATAACATTTTTTTTTTAGTAAGACAAATAAAATATATATTTTGCAATATTTCATTTCTAAATACATTTCCCTCTTTTTCTGCATCAGTGTGCAATGTGTGTGTGCATGTGTGTGTGCGTGCGCACCAGGGTGTGTGTCTGTGTGTGCATGTATAAAAATCTTCAAAATAGAGGATTTCCCCGTTTCACATCCGTACACACCAAAGGAGCTAATATCCACACTTTCCCTTTAATTATATCTCTATCTCGATGTAAGGCATTAGTGACGTCTGCTGAATTACATTCAATGCGATGATTTTTCTATTAAGGGCAGATTCAAGAGTCCAAGTGGAAAGCACCGTTGATGGGCTGTGCACAATTCAAAAGTAACCTTGGGTCTCTGTGAGGCAATTGCTGGAGCTCTGTCGCCATCTACTGGCCATACTGGAAGGTGTGAGGTTTTTTGTTTTGTTTTTCCGCCACCAAACAAAGCTTTTTCCTTCGGCTTTATTCATGTGTCAACCCAGTTCTACAAGAAACAAGATACCAGCTAGATACCTTGGAAAGAAACGAAATAAACAAAGCATCTTTTCCACTTTCTCCCCCCCACCTCTCTCTCTTCCCCTCTTTGGTTTTACTCTAACCTAAAGGGCTTAAAGAATAACATGCTCCACACAAATCAATTTGGCAATGTCATAGCGACTGAAAAGTTAAAAGAAGAAATATCTTAAATAAGAAAATTCCACACACAGCACTACATTGTCTCACATCTCCAGCTACAGTTTCAGTGGAAACGAGTGTGAGATCAGAGAGGCAGAGACTTGAACTCGTGCTATTAGGCCTAATTTTCTCGATTGTTTTAGTTTTTATCAAAAAAGGGGGGAGAAATGCAAACATGCCCAACAACTGCTGTTGCCCAAAATGCAGTAATGTATGCTTGCCATCCTGCACACACACACACACACACACACTCCTCTATAAATGCATTTCCTTCCATGTACTTTTAAATATTTTATCCAATCTCAACTGCAAATTGTATCTCATATTATCATTTCTTTTCCTCATATCCTTGCAGCGGAACATAATAATCCTAGCAATTAAAAGGAATTAAAATAAATCTATTGCATATTTTCATCTAGGAGGGGTGGGGGGAAACTCACCAAGAGAGATGCATAACAAATTGAAATGGAGGGAGGGGAAAGAGAGAAACAGAGAGAGAGAGAGAGAGGAAGAGACTGGAAATCTGAATTCTAAAGTCCAGAACCATCTTTTTTATATATAGAAAAATTGCACCGAGTGTTATTTGTTGTCCTATACCTTGCTAACATCACAGTGGATTGTTGTTAATAAAATAACATGTGGCCTTAAAAGGGGGGGGGAGGGAAGCATTGGTGTGAAAAGGGTATAGTTGAAGTTTTAAGATTCAAGCTTTTTCTTTTAACTTCTAATATATATCTATATACCTATATCTATATATTTTTTTTCAAAACGTTTTATTAGGAAAGCTATACCAGACGCATCACTGTACAATGATTAAACATTACCTTTACAATTTATATTCACTTGAAAGTACAGAATAAATATATGCACAATTGTATTTGTGTGTGTTTGTGTGTTGTCTGCATTTGTGAGCGAGGGGGGGGAGAACGTTAGCACCTCTACTCAGAAGGAAGCCACACTGATTTCCATGGGACTTACTCTCAGGTGAGGGGGCACGGGACTGCAACCTAAAAGGGCTTCTTTTACAGAGACACCGGTGGCAGCCTACCAAGCAAACGTCCCCTTTCCAATGCATTTGTGACGTCCGGTTCTCTTTTTAATTAGAGGTGCAGCTGTCCTCCAGAAAGGAACTCAATCAAATGGCAATGACCTTTCCTTCCCTGTAGGGCAGCCACAGAAGGGAACAAATAGACAGCTCCTTCGCTGGAGAAGCAAGCCAGTGACCTCCCCTCTGGAATAGACTGTGGTACCCCATCCCTGCGGTGCGGGGAGAGATGCAGAAATAGAACAGGGTGCAAGCAAATTGGGATGGCTAGGAGGCTGATTGCAGGGGGTTTAGGATACAGAGTGGAGCAGAATAAGCGTTTGGACCTGTGTTTGTATGTGAGAGAGAGAGAGAAAAAGAGAGAGAGAGAGAGAGAGAGAGAGACAGAGAGAGAGAGAGAGAAGAAGAAGAAGAAGAAGAAGAAGAAGAAGAAGAAGAAGAAGAAGAAGAAGAAGAAGAAGAAGGAGGAGGAGGAGGAGGAGGAGGAAGAGGAGGAGGAGGAGGAGGAGGAGAAGCCAAGAGAGTGAGAACATTTGGGGAAGAAAATGACCCCCCCTCCCCGCCACTGCCTGCAGTTCCCAGACATACAGAAAACTGCAATTTTTTGTTGCTGTTCTTGTGGTTCTCTTCCCCACCCCAGACACCCACCACCCCTTCAAAGTAATGTACAGGTTCTGTGCCATGATGAGGGAAAGAATAGCCAAAGCACAACCGATGTTGTCTTTTAAAAAAAAATCCACCTCCCTCCCCAGAGCATTAAAAAAAAAAGATAGAACAGAAAGGTTTCTGTTTTGTTTTGTTTTAAAAAAAACTACAACAGAAAAAAACAAAAGCCTGCAAGAGAGAGAGAGGAGATAGAGAGAGTAGCGTAACACACATAGAATTTACTGTCATCAGGACCGAGGCAAATAACCCCCCCCATGATACTAATTATAATAATATTCGTATACCTTAGACAACATGGCACAGTCAAAGTCTCCATTTTTTTTCCAGTATAAAAAAATAATGATTGATTAACATCTGCTGGCAAAAGTCTGCAAAAGGCACTTTATCGATTCATGATCATCTGAGAAGGGCCTTTCCTCCAAACCATCATCTGGCAGGGGGAAAGCACAGAGCAGTATCCTCTAGTATCAGCATGCGGTGGTTTGGGGGCAGGAAGGGCGGGGAGCCAAGGAGTGGGGACTCGGGGGGCCGTGGGGCTGTGGGGCGGGTCTGGGATTTGGCTGTAAAAGCTAGACTTTTGTTTTGTTTTGTTTCAAAACCTATAAGTGGTCTTCTCCAGGACTTCGAGGTAATCCGGCTTGGTTTGGAGTTTGGCCCTTAACTCGAGGTATTCACTTTGGGGGGGTTGGTGGTGGTCTGGGAAGCCCTTACCAGCCGAGAAGAGGAGGGTCTCTTTCAGCCTGGCGTCCTGCTGCAGGTCTGGATATTGCATGCCAGGGGGGTGCACGTGCAGTTCCTTTAATTTGGGCACCGTGCCGTAGAGGCAGTCCACAAAGCCCACCGTGCACGGTGGCGCCAAAGGCGGCCTGTCCCTGCTGTCTAGAATGGCACCACTAGGGGGGAAGAGCACCACCCCACCGTTCTTTTCGTGGTGGAAGACAGGCGGCACCAGCGCTAGCTCCCCCAGGAGAGGCAGCCCCCCTCCAATCCCCCCGCTGGGCGGGTGCGGGTGATGGTTGGTGGTCACTATGGTGTTGAGCTGCGAGCTGGACACGGCCAAGCTCCACTCCTTCTCCTTCTCCAGCAAGGTCCTGTAGCAGCTGCTGCTCCCACCGTCCTTTGTGGGGTCGGCAAACTGTTCCCCTGCACAGCCAACTCCTCCTCCACCACCACCACCACTACCAGCACCACCACCACCTCCCAAAAGCATGTCCCCAGGTTGCCCCGGCTCCCCCGCCACCACTTCGTCCTCCTCGCGGGGCTTGTAGATGGGGTTGTTGCACATCTGGGTCACTGGATGCGGGATGTAGTCGTAGACGTGCCCCACTGGGGGTGCCTTTTCTGGGGAGGCGCTGAGCCCCCCGCCGCCTCCGCCGCCTCCCTCCTCGAAGAGGTGGTGGCACTGCATCTGGATTCCCGTCAAGTCGAGGGTCTCCTGCCGCTGCTTGTTCCGGAAGGGTAGCTTCTTGTGACGCCTGCGCAGGACGAAAGCGAAAAGGCCCGCAGCAATGAAGACCGCCGAGAAGAACAGTACAAGGAGGCTGAGGATGAGCACGGAGAGGGGCACCGGGCCTCCCCCAGCCGGGGGGAGCTCATAGGGCGACGGGCTGGTGGGGCTAGGGTGGCCCCACGCTGGAGGGGCTGGCGAGGCAGCAGCAGCATGCAACATCTCTGGGCAGAGGACCTCCAGCTCCACAGAGCGGATGTCTCTGTGGGTGAGGTTGTCTGGGCTGGCGCAAAGGACATCCCCCACCATGATGACGGAGCTGATGGCCTCGATCCACTGCTTGAGAGGCACCAGGTCACACGTGCAATCCCAGGGGTTGAGCTTCAGGTCAATCTGCACAATGGCGTTGAGGTGCTCCAGAACGCCAGCCACGGGCAAGTACAGGAATTTGTTGTTCCTCAGGTTGAGCCTGGTCAGAGAGGTGCCTGCAAAGGCATCTGTAGGCAGGTTCCTCAGGAGGTTGTCGTTGAGGAAGAGAAGCTTCAGGTTGGGCATGAGACTGAAGGCAGCGGGCTGGATCTCCCTGATCTGGTTGTACTCAAAATACAGATAGTGCAGGCTCTGCAGACCCCTGAACATGCCTGGGGTCAGCTTCTCAATGTCATTGCCGTTCAGGTACAGGCTCTTCAGGTTGGGCAGGTTGACAAAGGCCCCGTCCTGAACGTAGGAGATCCGGTTGTTCCCCAAATGCAGGAGATCCAGGGAAGAAAAATTCCAGAAATCGGAACGGTAAATTTTCTGTATCAAATTACCGCTCAGGACCAGCTTCTTGGCATTGACGGGCCTGGGCAGGAGCTCGGAAATATTGTGGAACCCTCTTTCCTTGCAGTTGACTGTCAGGCCCAAGTCATTGATGTGCAAACTGCATGAGCAGCCAGTAGGGCAGATGATGGGAATGGGTGGCCTCGTCTGGTAACCAGCTATTGGGGGCTGGTTGGGCGCAGGATATAGGCCTCGAGGTGTCGGGGGTGGCTTGTGTGCCCTGGGCTGTTTGGTGGGCCTGGGCTGCTTAATGGAAGTTTTGTATTCGACAGAGGAAGCAGTGAAATGGAAAGAGGACAGCATGGAAGAAGGCTTAGTAGGCCACGCGTTCTCCTTGCTCGAGGGCAGCTGAGGGGCACCGATGCTGACCAGCTCCGAGTCAGACAGCATTGGGCAGAGTTTATTCCTCTTAATTTCCCTCAGGTCCTTCCCGTGGAAGTGGAAAGGGGTCTCACAGGTTATGTCTCCCACAAGGGCAGTGTAAGGGATGCGCTCCAGCCAGCTCTTCAGCTGGACAATATCACAGGTACAGTTCCACGGGTTCTCCTCCAGCTGGATCTCCATCAGGCTCCTGCCAATGTGATCCAGCATCCCTCGGTAGGAGAGCACTTTCAACCTGTTTCCACGCAAGTCCAAGTGAGTTAAGGACACCGACTTAAACAAATTGGTGGGGAGGATGGGGATAAGGTTGTCGTTCAAGATCAGGACCCGGAGCTTGCTCAGGTTTCGAAATGCCCCGCTCTCGATCCGCTTAATGACATTGTAATCTGCCTGCAGATATTCCAGACTCTCCAAGCCCAGGAAAGTGTCGTTTCTGAAGATGTCCAATTTGTTCTCATGCAGGTATAACCTCTTCAGGATTCTGAGGCCATTAAAGGCTCCTGTCTGAATGTCTTGTAGTGCGTTGTTCCCCAGGTTGATCGAAACGGCGTTGTTCAGGTGGAGAAAACTGTTAGTATATAATCTCCTCATGGAGTTCCTCTGCAGGTAAAGTTTGAAAGGTCTCGACCAGGACTCCGTTATCTGGCTAATATTTATAAATCCCTTGTTGTCGCAGTGTATGTGAAAAAGGCTTTCTTTGACTTCACAGTAACAAGGATCGAAGCAAGACTCCTCAATCTCCTCCGAGTCTTCTATCAAGGGGATGGGGGTAGTCCACGCTACAGCAATTGTGCTTAGAAGAATAATCCACAACATCCTTCTCCTACGGGGAGGGTCGGCTGTCGGAGACTTCATGGTTGCGACAGATTACAAAACTGAAACAGAAATGAAAACACAAATGGATTACGGTTGATCAGCATTTTATCGGGCTATTTTTATATTGAACCATGCATCTAGAGCATCTAACGGGGTTTCGTGAGGTTACTTGGAAGTTTATTACAAAAAAGAAAAGAAAACTCTAGCATTGCTCTTTAGAACCTCTCCTGGTTTTGACTTAAGTGATACTGAAACATCTCATCATGCAACAGCCTTCTTGTTTCCCCATCCTGCTCACCCCTCTCCCAGGCTACTTAGTGAATGACATCCTCATGAAAAACAGCAAATGAACCTATAGGGCCTATGTTGTGAAACATTTCCCCCGCCAACACAAAGACAAGGAGTGTTTAGGAGGAAGCATATGGGAGATCATCTCAGTCTTACCTCGACACCTGCATCAATCACAAGAGTAAGGAGAGATGAGGTGCAGGAAGAGATTTTTATCTGGCACACACACACACACACACACACAAAACCATGCAGTCTATACATTGCATCCTCATGAACACACAAACGCTCAACTTGGAAGTTGTTGTGTTTTTTATTATTCAGGCAATGCCCATCTAATGCTATGATACAGCCATTATTTAAGGAAATGGGGACAGACAAGTTTCCAGAGCCCCAGTCCCTGTAGGAATATCCGTAACTGGGATTTTATCAGTATACAAGGGTTAGTAGCAATGGTTGCTTCAATACCGGGGGTTGGGAGAGAGAGAGAGAGAGAGAGAGAGAGAGAGAGAGAGAGAGAGAGAGAGAGAGATCCTTCTCTCCCAAGCACACAAAATGGATTAACGCAACTGGTATAGTATCCGATAAATGCACACTCCATATTAGTCATTTCAGCTGATTAAATCATTTAGAGATGATTAATCTTTGGGAGGCACATGCCTCTGCCATCCACATACCCAAGGGGGAAAGCGGCAGTTGCAGGGCTACGGATGGAAAGAGATGGTGGAATGAAAGGGGGCAATAGGGATAGGTGAGGGGAGACTCTGGACGTGGGTGTTTTCTGCCTGTAGAACCATCCAGGAATGATCCAGCAGGACAAAAGAGGAGAAGGGGGAGGAAAAGTAAGAGGGGGGAAAAATACCTTTACACTAAGCCCAGGAGAAATAACCCTTGCTTTACAGCAAAAGCTCACAAAAGATTCCTCTTGGAGGGGACAACTGGACCCCGTGACCTACAGCCTCCTCTGCTTGGGGAGGGCATTCTCTTTTTCTCCTTGACTCCTTTTGCCCAGATCATTCCAACACAGAAGAATAAATCACTGTTAAAGACTATGACTCCTGACAAGGATGGCTTCACAGCCCCTACTTGCTGCTGCTGCTGCTGCTGCCCATTTCAAACGGGTTTGCCAGAGTCCTGGTATTTATTTCTGTTCTCTTCATAGCAAAGGAGCTTTACAGATATGGATTATCGTGCACTCTCCACTCCACCCCCACACCCCAACACACCCATGCAGGCGAAGGGAATTCCTCCCTCCCCGTTATGAAAAAAGAAAGCCCTTAATAGCAAAAGGACCTAGTTAGGGAAAGAAATGGGAGGCGCAGGTGGGGGCAGGGTGGAATAAGAGCATTTCATTACAGAAAAATGAAATAAATCGAAGCAGAGAATCTATTTGCAAATGAAGGGAACTGGGGGACCCGGTGGAAGGAAAATTACCAGGCACGATCTGAATGAGGAAAGAAGAAGGGGAGAGGTCTGATTTTTTGCTCTTTGTCTCAGTAGAAAGATGGATAGATAAATAGAGATGGACGGACAGAGAGATAAGCTACTTAAGTTCTTTTCCTCTTCTGCATTAAAAAAAGGGGGTAGAAAGAGATGCTCTATCCCAGCAGAAAAGCGGGGAGGGGGAAGGGAGGGAGAAAGAGAGATCGAGAGATCCAGAAAGAGCTTGTACTTACCGGTCCGAAGGAGATAAATTTTTTTAGCACATTTGGAGAGAGCCGGGAAAGGAGAGAGGGTAGGGAAAAAATAGCCAAACCCACTTGGAAAAATAGATATCTACGTACGGAATTTTCAACGGCTTTTAAAAATAAAATAAAATAAGGATTGCTGGTTTCTCTCTTTCTCTCTGTTCTGGTTCTATACTCCTGCTGAGGGCTGAAGCAAAAGGAAAGGGGGGGGAGCAAGCAAAGATGAGACGTGCTAGGAATGCAATGAGGTTCCTTAGGATGCAGAGATGCTGCTTGGCACAGTCAATGGAGGAGGGAGGCAGAGGGGGCTGCTGCAGCCTCCTAGATCTGCCGCTGCCGCCGCCGCCGCTGCCTTCTCTGGGTACCACCAGCTCATCTTTGAGAAACGAGGGAGGGAAGGTCTATGGCAGGAGGTTCAGGCTGGGGCTTCTCATCCTTTCGCTCCTTCTTCCACTCCTTCCCTTTTGTGTGTGTGTGTGTGTGTGTGTGAGAGAGAGAGAGAGCGCATTGTTGCCCCTGAATCAGGCTTCCCCCACCACCACGTCATGAATTTGAGCTTGAAGAAAAGGGGAACAAATGTAGGAGGACGCACTTGGCACCAGGTGGGGGGGGGCACGTCTGGGAAGCCCTGACTGTACTGGGCTTGCTTTCTACCCCCACCCCCCATTCCCCGCCAGGAGGAGGAGGAGGAGGAGGAGGAAGAGTTATTTGGGGGATCAGGAGCGGGGGAACCCGAGATGATGGAGAAGGAAGCAGCAGCCAGGAGCAGAGGAACAATCCCGGTGGTGGCTGGGTGGTGGTCTCCTACGTCCGCCCCCCTCAGAAAGGGCCCCCCCTTTCTGCCTGGGATGGAAAAAAGGATCATAATAGGGGAATGTCCCCTGGGCCACCAAGTGTGCATATTCCAGCAAATCCTTGAGAGCTGCAGCCATTAAGGGGAGAGGAGATACCCGCCCCTCTCCACATAGCCAAGAACTCTCTCCGCTTGCTTCCAAAGTAGTAGGCTCAGTTGAGCTCGCTCGCTCGCGCGTTCTCTCGCTCTCTCTCTCCCGCCCTCGCCTGCAGTTCTCCATCAAACCTAAACCTGTCCCAGCAGAGGTAAAGGAAAGGGCAGCGCCGGGGGAACTTGGAGGAGAGACCTTCCCCTCTCTTCCTTCATGCTTTCCTCGTCCTCCCCGCTCCTCTTCCTATTCCCCACCCCCCTGCAGCTGAAAAGGCTTCAGTCCACCCCACAACATCCAACAGGCTCTTATTTCTTCCCAGATATTTCCCCCCTCCTTCCTCCTTTTCCAAAGCTCCTAGCCAAGTGTTGAAGCCACTTGGGTGACAATGGACCATTTTGCATCTTTTCCTTCCAGAGGGAAGGGGGGGGGGCGGCGGCGGAGGATTTAACCGCTCCGTTGCTGCCTCCCTCTCCTTATTTTACCTGCCTCGCCTCCTTTCCATCCTTTCCATTTCTCTCTCTCCCTCTCCCCTAATTGTGTTGGCTTGGACTTGCTATCTGACCCCAGAGAAGGAGAACCTATGCCTCGATTTCTGCCTAGATCCAAGGGAGGGGAGCCCCCCCCCCCCGCCGCCGCCGCCAATCTCCAAAGGTAAATTGAACAGCTCTCTCTTTCCGTAGAAAACAAGAAGGCAACCAAAAGGAGCATATCTGGAGCTGGAGGGAACATAGAGAACAAAGATGCCTGGTTACTAGAGTGCAGGAAAGATTTCCTAACACAATAAGCTCCCATGCTTAGTCAGCTTCGCCTAGATTAAGTTGGCAACCATTTGCCCAAGTTCCCTTGAAGGTGGTGCGTTGTTTGGGCCCATCATCCTATTGCTTTCATAGACCCACTCTCTCCCACACGCCCCTCGCTTGTCAGAAGCCAGGTACTTTGGAACGGAATACCCCCAGATTTATTTTTAATAATGCCTCTTGCAAATCTATTTCGCTTAGGGCAGGGAGAGGCAGGGCAGGATGCCTCCCCGCCCGGAAGAGCTGGGTTTGGGTGGCCGCCTCCTGATCACCCCCTTGAGGAAAGGAGGGGAGGTGGGGCTGGCAGGTGGCAGCTAGAGACATCCCTCCGAGACAGAAGAGGCTCCGCTTGCGCCTGGGAGGAATTCTGATGCTTCTGTCCCCACCGCCCTTGCAGCCCATCATCTCTTTGGGGATTCTGCTACAAAGAGTGGAGAGCTGGCAAGCTGGGAATCCGATGGGACAGCAAGCACACCCACCCACCCCTTTCCGTGCCTCTTTGCCCCGACGCGGGTTCTCTTAGGACCCAACAAGGGAGCAGCCAAATCTCTGCTCCCCACCGCCACCTTCAAATCGCTCTCCTCGCCAGCGCTGCTCCTTTTCAGAACCAAGTCCTGTTGCAACGTAGAAGTGGCGATCGCTGTCGATTACAAAGCTGCATAGCTGCTATTATCATTACAAAGCACGAGAATCCTGCGTTTTAAAACGTGTGTGTGGTGGGGGGAATAAGGATCCGTGAAATGTTTATGGAGTTGTTGGCGGGCGGGGGCGGAGATGAAAGGAAGACACTAAAATAATAACAGAAAAGAGGCCGGTGACAATGTATACATTGGAAGAACATTGGCTTGGTTATTATTTTAAGGGTCTTCCTTCCAGATCCTTCGGGGGGGGGGGTGCGTCTTGCAAATACAAGCGAGCAACAATGGCAACAAAAACATCGCATCTCTCTCTCTCTCTCTCTCTCACACACACACACACACACACACACACACACAGCGGCCAAACCCCGCAATCGCGCCTCATCCCTCCGCCAGATCAAGAAGCGAAGGCGCAAAAAACCCAGGAAGGACAGCGAATACCTAAGGAGATCCGAGCGCCGGGCTGGCTGCGAGGCGGAGCTCCCCGGGTCTCCCCGGGCGGCGTGGCTTTGCGGGCCGACGGAGGAGGAACTCTTGCCGGGCTTCTTCCTCTCCTTTCCGGAGCGGCTGCGGCTCGCTGACCCCCATGGCGGGCCGCGGAGCGTGCCCCGGGTCCATGTCAGCCTCGCCGACCCGCCGCCTGCATTTCAGCGGCGAGGCGCGCACCCAGGCGCGCGCGCGCCCTCGAGCGCGCACGGAGACACCCTCACGCGCCCCTCCCCAGCCCAACGCGGCTGTCTGCTTCGCCGGTGTAATCCTTTTTCGTCGAGGCGGTTTTCTCTCCCCCACTCAAGTTTTGCCCAGGAGGAGAGGAGCGTCGGGGATCGACGGCGAGGAGAGAACCTGGAAAAGCGAAGGCGCATCAGAGGAAAGAGCGCCGGGTGCGCGGCGCCCAAGCTGGGCATGGCGCCTCCGAGGCGAAAGCGCACCGCCTTGCTTCAGTAGGGCGCTGCTGCTGCCGCCGCCGCTGCCTTAAGCTTCCCAGAGCAATCGCGTGGCTCCCTCCGAGACGCGGTAGAGGAGGGTTGGGCGAGCCGGATCCCGGGTACCGGATCTCTGGATCACGCATCTGGGCGCCTGGCTTCCTCCACCTCTCTCATCTGTCGGCGAGGAGGGGAAACTCTGCCCGGAGCCTCCTGAAGTCCTCTGGAGGTGGGACATCAGCCTTCAGCTTCTTGCTTTGCTCGCTTGTATCCTTCTCTTCTTGTCTGATGTATCGAGAGAGAGAGAGAGAGAGAGAGAGAGAGAGAGGGTACTAGTGGGTGGATCTCTTGTGCGAGGCGCACAGGATAGAGCAGGTCAGCTCCTCATCCCAGCCTCAGGCAGAAAACAACATGGCTTTAAGGAGGAAGGGGAGAGGGAGAGAGCGCATCTCTTTTAAACAGCTGGATTTGGAGAGGGGACCGGGGCGGGGTGGGGAAACCAAAGGAAGCCCGCAGTTTTTGGAGATCTGCTGCAGTTCAGTTGTATGAGGAAGTCAGAGTTCCTCAGGAACCAGAGTTGGGGAGATGGGCTGTTTTTCAGGTAAAACAGCTTCAGGTCTATGGAGGTCTGGGAATGGGAGGACGGAGAGGGCTTCCAGGAATGGGAGGGTGAAGCTCAGAGGCGTCCAAAAGGAGTCACCTGCAGCACACCACAAGTGCCACTTGATGATGATCAGGAATGAAAAATGCACACCCTGGTGACGATGAGAAAATGGGAACCTTCATTTATTTGTGTTGCATAGGGTGTGCCTTGCACCAACTCACTCTGTTCTTGTTCTCTGTTGTCTATGCTGACCACCAGCAGCTCTCCACTTTTCAAGCAAAACTTTCCCCTCCCCCCCCCCTGCTGAGATAAACCAGAGATTGAACCTGGAATCTTCTGCAGGGCCCAATTTGGGGGTGGGGAACCCAGTGAGGTAGCTTAAGGCAGAGAGATGTGACTTCCTCCTCCAGGATGATGATGATGATGATGATGATGATTTATTATTTATATCCCACCCATCTGGCTGGGTTTCCCCAGCCACTCTAGGCGGCTTCCTACAGAATGTTAAACTACAATAGTCTATTAAACATTAAATACAATACATAATTTAAATACATTAAATACAATAGTCTATTAAACACTAAAAGCTTCCCTAAACAAGGTTTAGCAACTTGGATTTCCTTGCCACCCACCTCAACTTCAGGGAAACTGGAGGTCCTCTGGATGTTGATGGACTCCAGCGCCAATCATCTCTGAGGGTGGCCCAGGGCTAGTGAGAGTTGGGAGTGCAATAAAATTTAGAAAGTCCTAGGTTCCTCATCTGTGATCCCCTACTGCACAGGCTTTCATAGCTCCTGGAACACCTCTACTTGAAACATTTCTTCTTTTTCTCCTGATGCTGTAGGACATCCTGAGTGAACATCAGGAGATGTTCTCATCAGTCCATCTAAATTATAGTGTGCAGCTCCTTAGGGTTTGAGACAGGGTCCTTTCCCAGCCAGACTTGGAGATGCCAGGGACTGAACCTGGGACCTTCTGCATGCTAGGCATGTGCTGTCCATCCTTGGCATGCAAGGCATGTGCTCTCCATCTGAGGTGCAGCCCATCCTTGTTGGCAGAATGAACCTGGCTCTGATTCCTCTCTTCAAAAGCATAGAATGAATTCTTGGCTTCCCCCAACATTTTGGAACCCACCCCATTCTCTTGACTGTAATTTAACTATTTTTTACTTTAGAATTGTTGCAACCTATCTTGGGAATTCATGATGAAGCTTGGGTGGTGAATCTAAATCAGTGGTGGGGGTGGTGTATTGATAATAGTAACAATAACATAACGCTCAGCAGAATCTTTCACCTTGATCCAAGTTCAAGTTCATGTGCATTCAGTTCTTGGCTGAACAGTATTCACATTTTTGGGCTGTACTCTACCTTGGGCAGTGTCCAGATATCAGCTTGCTGAGATAGTACTGAGGTGAAGCTGGAAATGATTGTGTGTGTGGTCCTCTTTTGCAACTATGCCACCAGTTCTGATCCCTGTTCTGCTGTTCCAGCACACCTGATACATAGTACCTGAAAGAAAGAAACAGGTTTATCTCTGGAAGCACCAGAACAGTGTGTTTTTCCCACACCCTTTGAATCATATTCCTTTGGAGGCAATGGAATTCCCATTTGTTATGCACTGCAATCACAAAATGGCACAGTCTGAAGCTAACACAGAGGTTGTTATTCCAGAATGTTTAGTGCAGGGTAGATATTTGGTCCTGATTAGTAACATGATTGTTGTTGTTGTTGTTTTGTTTTAACAGGAGCCATCTTTTGAATTGAGCTAGGTCTGAAGCTATTGGTCATACTCACTAGCTTAGAACAGCATGGGCTGTTTGTAGTGCCATGGTCATTGTTGTGGGCTAGGATTGTGGAGACTTGGGTTCAAATCCCTACTCAGCCCTGAAGCTCAATGGATTGACCTTGGACAAGTTGCTGTTGCTTGGCTTGGCCTACCTTGAATTTTATTAAGAGATGATAGATAGATAGATAGACAGATAGAGAGAGAGAGAGATAGAATTGTAGCGTTGGAAGGGACCCTGAGGATCATCTAATCGAACCCCCTGCAATGCAGGAATATGCAGTTGTCGCATACAGGGATTGAACCTGCGACTTTGGCATTATCAGCACTATGCTCTAACCAACTGAGCTGTCAAGGACAAGGTGGGTGATGATGAAAGAATCATGTATGCTATACTGATCTCCTTGGAGGAATGTGGAAATAAATAAGCAAGCAAACTCTCTAGTGTAAGAGAAGAGTTTCTATATACATTGCATTTTAAATCTCTCTCTCGATTGCCATTTGCCTTCATTATCACCTGAGGTTGTGAGGGGAGATCTCTGAGTGAATCTCTTGTGGCTCATCCTGAGGGATGGTGGAGAGAAGGACCTGTGTGGTTTGGAAGAAACCAGCTCAGATGCATAGCAAGGATGGAGGTCTTTGCATTGAGGGACTATGCTCAGAGCCCAGCAAGAAGTTTGGGAGCCAGGTAGATCCTGAGGCCATCAGTTGACTATCCCAAACATATAGAGCTGCTGTCTATTCCTTGAACCTACATGCTACACTCACAAGAAGGAAATCCCTGACAGAGGTAAACATAGAACTGACTCTTTCCCTGGTGTACTGCATTACTAACCCTCACCCCATCCCTCTGAGAGTATTTTGTTCCTTATATAATCTCATCAAAAATATTCATGATAAAACAATTGAGCCTTGACTATATGAAATAAAATGGTGTGGGGTTTTTTTTGTGTGATATTAGGAAACAAAACACACAACTCCAGCATGTATGCCCTTTAGGGTCCTATTGACCTTGAAATATATATATATTTTATTATTGATGATGGTGCTGCTAACATAGAATCATGACTGCCGCTGCTTCTTTTTAAAACTAATCTCTGCTGTGCTGCCTTTCCAGCCCGTTCATCCATCTATCTGTTGCTGATGTTTAAAAACTATCGATTGCTTTATGGCCACTATTTTTATATTGCTATCAGTTGCCACGAGCCTCAGCAGAGAGAGGGCAGGTTA